GTTCAGAAGCTGGATATATTATTAAAAATTTGAAAAAAAAGAAAAAAGCGCACAGCATATGACTTCACAGATGACTGTCCACAATTTCAGTTCGCAGTTTTTGGAATATTTTCTCCTGTAACAGTGTAAGCTTTCAAGTAAAAAATTCTAATAATTCACAAAGAAAGATCATGCATCACCTAGGAACTAATTTAAAATGATTTCAAATAGTTCAATGACATCAAAATCAGAAAGTCTGGACAGTGCAGGTAAAATAAGTGCTCAAAAGATGAGAAAACGCTGGAAGCCAAACACGCCTGTGAATGCATTCAACGTGCTGCTGCGCTTCGGCAGCAGCCACGGTGCAGTAAGGTACAGGACAAATCACAAGGAACACAATCCCTGCCCTCACACTGTTGAATCATCAACCAGTGATGACATTTGGCTGTGTTAAAGAGATGTTTTAAAGTTTAGAGCATGGGCTAACCCAGCAATATTTCTTCCTTCTGACTTTGCCAGTCAAAGGAGAATTATTGCTGAAAAACCACTACGCACTAGGCACAAAATTAATTTGTGAATACTGAAAGAAGAAATTTAAAAGAGTAAATTTTCAAGGTGACAAACATTTATCAGTAGCATTCCCAGATTTCGTTTTCCATACAAACTTTTGTATGGGCACCGCTACAACCGCTGGAACTCTCTCGTACCACAAGTAATTGTGTCTGTACAACGCGCAAGTCACACGCTCGCATGTGCTTGACCGAGACCCATTTGGGTTACACGACTAAGCAAGTATTTGTAAAGCATCTGTTTGCTGCCTCACCCCGCCTCAAGGCGATCCCAAACAGGCCTTTCTCTCTCTGTGCAAGGGATCACCAAGGGACAAGGAGACGCCTGGACATTATTTCTTCCTGTTCTGCGCACTAACACGTCACGGCAGCATGCAGGAGAAAACGGACCAGACCAAAGAGTAAGCCTTGTCTCTGGAGCTGAAGCAGTTCACGTTCCCTACCTCCCAGCTTTTTGGAACGACAGATCCTTAGGAACAAACTGCATTTCAATTCAATTCCCACTATCCTGATGCAGCAACTGACTATGCTATATCACAGTGTTTCCTAAAGTGCTAAACGTTTATGTTGGCTCAAGTAGGATTGAATGAAAACGTATCTCTTACTGGTTTTACTTATGGAAATACCAAAAGAGAGTAACTGGTCCAGTAACAGCGTATTTAGCCCCGTGGTTACCTGTCAGGCTGCCCGTTGGAGTGTGAGCACTGGACAAGCAAGCCAGCCTAAGCGAGGTGTCAGCGCCACGCTGCTGTTCCTCAGGGCAGTGCTCCCTCCTAGCAGCAGGCACAAGCGCGGGCAGAGCAGCCTGTGCCTTCAATTTCACACCCACCAGCGTTTTATTTTCATATAACTATTAAAAACAAAGTATAGACGAACAATAAACTGTTTAACAGCAGACAAGATGTAACCGAACCAACCAGGGGGCACAAGGCCTGCTCGCTGAGGTCGGAACGACATCCCAAGGACCGCCAAGCCCCTCTCCCCTACAGCCGTGGGGCTTACATAAAACTCCTCCAAATATCCCAGAATTAGAACAGAACCTCTAGCAGAACTCTTGGGGCTTGCCTCTGCTTCCATCTCACACAGGCAGACGTGGCGCTGCTGCTTCAGACAACGGCAAAGGAAAACTGCAAATTATTTCCAGTGTGCACCTTCCCTTCCGCAGCAGCGCCGAGCTCGCTGCTGGGTGAAGCCCGGGTCCATGAAGTGGTCCAGGCACAGATTTAAACACTTAAACGTAAGAGGTGTATTTTTGAAAACCTTTCAGCTACAAAACTGAGGCTGTCTATATTTCTGTAGTGTTTGCAGCTGAGGTGGCTGTACGTGCCATTCAGAGCTCATGCGAGGGGGAAAAATGTTTAAAAAATGACTATTTAATAGAAGCAGGAACGGGTTTGTGCTTTGCAAGTGCATCATCAACACCAACATGACTAAGGTTATCGTTACAAAAAGCAATAGCCATGGAAAAATTCCACGTTGTGCAGCGCCAAGGAGGCTGGCGGTACTTCCGAACGCGGCAGAACAGAGATGGAATAAGCTCCTCGTGGCAAGAGTCATCCTTCATCGTACGCGGCACCATCAGCAACGAGGCCTTACCCAAAACCCAGCACTCCTGTTACAGCCACAAGCAATACCAAATGCCACTGATGGGACATTCCCTACTCCTGGAAATGTCTACAGTTGCCCTGGGAATTAATTAGAACAAAATCAATTCCAAACTTGCTAGAAGTTTCTGTTGATAAGGCGCAAGAACAATCCGTACACTGTTCAGAGTATATACATTATGCCCCAATCTGTTACTCATTTCCACCACCAAGGTCACGTTGCACAGCTCAGAGCAAACACTCCACAGCCCAGAAGTTACTTCCTTGAAGTTCTTCTTTTCCAAAACAGCTCCACACAGTACATTCAGTGGACTTCTAGAGGCCTATTTATGCTATTAGACTGCTTCCTTTGTAAGGAAGCCAATCTGTCGGAGGCAGCGACGCACGACAACGCTGCCTTTCCCACAGCATCCCTGACATTTGACCCTTCATCCCCGTTAAGTGCTCAGCCACGTCCTTGTTTCACTACCCCCATAGATGCTGCGGCCCCTGTGCTAAAACAGAGCCAGACACCTGCCTTTCCAAGCACCTATCAGGGCTATGTTGTTGTGGGGGTTCTTCCTTAAAGTATTCTGTTCTTCCTTTATTTACTGGAAAAACATACTTGCAATTCTAAACTAAAACTTAGATGCCATCTTGGAGCCTAAAATTACTTTGAAGATACAAAGAGATTACAAATAAATTTAAAAATAAATTTTGAAAAGAGCCTATTTCCCATCATGACGAATCGCAAAATTTTGACCACTGAAGCCAGTAGATTTTATGCCCAACTAGAAAAAAAAATGCTGTGGTCCACATGTGAATTATTTAAGCAAACATTTGCTCTACTTCTAGTTATCCAGAAAAGCCTTTCAGGCACTAATGACAGCAATTCATACCACTGCTACACAGGGAGACTACTCGTGCATGTATTTTCAGTGCATCTGAAGACAGACCCAATTTTCTAAATAACTCCAGTGTGTGTTTTTAAATGCTTAAGAGGCACTGCAGTGTATTACTGAAGTATTTTCCAGGAACAGGCTTCAGTGCTTTTTAGCCAGCTAAGCTAAAATGCTTTAATCTCTAAAAGGACTGATGTGAAAGTGATCCTTTTAAAAAATTATTTGGATAAATGAAAGCATTTGGTGAATCTCAATTTGAACTGAAAAAAACCCCTGTTGAGCACCGCACACCAGCATTACTTTGTGCAGTCAAATCAATAAGTATCAGCCTTAATAGGACTGCTATAGAAAAAAAGCTGCATCATATTTTTAAGATAAGATTAAGTTTAAATTGTCTCAAAACTTTTTTTTTCTTCTACCAACACAAAGCTAGTTGTATTCAACTGTAGCCCAAAACTTGATCTTTACTCTGGATACTTGTGGAAAGCTCAAGTGCTTTTGACAGCAGAAACACCTTCTCTGTAAAGGAAGTTGTTGGTAACCACCACCAGACTCCAGCAACACAGTGGGCAGCTTTCTGAAAACCTCAAAACGCAGTCCAGCGCTTGGCAAAAACCCACACATCCCGTGGAGCTTCCTCCGTTAAAGCGTCCCACCTCCAGCCTTTCCCGCGGAAAGGACACCCGACGACGCGGGGGCAGAAAGCTCTCGCAGGCATCGCACACGCTTGTTTACAATACTGCTTCTGCCAAAGCCTCCCGAACAAGAACCAGGAGGTCTCCAACAGCCGTGGAGCCAAGGAGACGGTGTATGTCCCCGAGGGACACACTGATCTGGCGCACAGGCTGGGGAAATCCGTTTCAGGGTGTGCCGAGCCCATTCATCAATTCATTTGTAGTTTTTCTGAGGGTCCGTCCTCTATCCATTGCTGTTTCCTGACAAGTCCTGCATCGTCCCGTAGCTCCTAAGGCACCCCCAGCACCCCACCTCCCTCTCAGCTAGTTCCAGTCAGCCTTTTCCCCCCCAGCCCCCGTTAATGCTCCCTACCCCAGACAGGCTCTTCTTCCACCAGCACTAATCCCACCGCAGGTGCTTTCAACCAGAGACTTCACCCAAAGCTAGACCTGTCATACTAACTGCCTTCAGGTCAATAGGAACAGCTGGGTTTCTTTTAGACTTTCACAAAAATCTGTATAAAGCTCAGCCAAAAAAAAAAGCCTTCACACTCCACAACCAGCAGTAGCCTACCCTGAAGAACATGGTGTAACCATGCAGATCCCGAGGATACCAATATTGAGCATATAGAGATTTTCCTTATAGACACTGCATAAATAAGCATGAAAAAAGAATCAAAAGATAACCGCTCAGAATTAAATGCATATTTTTGTATGGACTGTCATTTCTTGATGGACCAGAACTTTTCACTTTACTTCCCAGTCTACAACAAACTTATCTGAGTATCGTAGAAATGGAATACATGGGAATTCTACGTGCAACAAACCAGCAGTGCTTGTTTGTTGGGAAAAAACCCAAAATAAATTACAAAACCACCGCAATTCACTTGCACAGACTGCTGGTAGCCCCCTTACGTCAGATCTTTCACCAAGGTAAATAATTTAAGGGATAACTATAGAGAATCATTTAAAGCCTTTATTCTTCAAGAACTACAAGCTAAACACGGCAGTTGCAGGCAGATGTAAAAGCTCAGAGGCACACACATTAAAATATAGACCACGATTCAGAAGTGACACAATAATATTGCCGTAGTTAACGTTAAGCAGGTGTTTAGTTTTTGTCCACACTCTTTTCTACTGTTGCATAACTTCATTTCTAACAGCACACACTTCTTTGTAAGCAGCCTTAGTATTTTGTTTTCTCATGAAAAACATTTGGCGGAAAGCATTCCACCTCCTCTGCACAGCACCTAGTGCGTCACAACCCAACGTATTAATTACATTAACACTCACCTGCTGTGATGTCATCATCAACCAGATCATGCTCTTCTTCCTGAACTTTTGCTTCTGTTCCCAATGCATCTGGGCTTGCACTACCCGTCTGAACGGCTTCTGTGGTTACTCCAGCTGAAAGGAACAACCAAACACCCACAAAGTCAGTGGTTTTGGCAGATAACATCCTTACACAAGGATTAAAAAAAAAAAAAAAAAAAAAAAAAAAGGCTGTATCTTTCGATATTCCAAACGACGCAAGTAACTATGAAACACAGAACAAAGAGAAACTATTTTCTAGTTTCCTTTCATACCGTATACAGACTTTTCGCAAACCTGTCCTTTAAAAATCTCTTCCACGCTGTAATATCTCTTCTATATTTTCTTCTTTTTCTGCTGTCTTTTAACATCATTAAAAATATTAGACACACGTTACACACTAACAATTTATTTAGCCACAAAATACAGAGTTCCAGCAGAACTTCTCTTACATCTCCTCTCAATACGTCACCTCTCTGGCCAAAAAAGTGCCGTTTTTCCAGGCAGCCTTCAGAGTCTATCAATTCAGCTGACCCGTTCCATGTCCGTTGGGCTGGGAGGCATCTGTCCATTTCTATTAGAAACTACACAACGAGCACCAAATCGTGCCACATAACACCGCGTGATTAAAGCTGTAATTCACCAGTTCGTACTCTGCCCAGTTACAATCCTTAACCATTCCCTGTATGAGCCCTACCACAATTCAGTCAAGGCACCATCACAAGAAGTGTTTTGCTAAGGGTGGAAAAGCACTGCCTCACTAACTGTCTCCCCCAAGAGCTTCAGGAAAACTAAAAAGCAGACTGAAGGGAAGCTCCAGGAAGATTCCCTTCCTCCCGATACATCCCCTACGTCAGCCTATCCCATCCAAAAATCCTATACGAAGAGATTGCGGCTTTGCTGACTGCGGCATTGGGTTTGCCTTCCACTGGGGCGTTAGGTCCCCATCAAAACCAGGACCATGGCCCTTTGTCAGCACCGACCCAATTTCAACAGGAAATCAAGCCTCTGAGAACGGCCCTGCCCTGCGGAGGGCACACCGCTCTCGCTGCCCCGCACAAGCGCCAGCAACGGCTCGGCCCTGGGCAGTGCACCGCCCGCTCGGCCTGCTGCTGCTCCTCTCCTGGTCTTAGACCACCTTACGAAACCATTCACGTGCGCTACTTCAGTTCTCAGCAGCTTTCATGCAACAACTTGCTTGTCTTCTCCAAGCACACGGGATAAAGGAAGAGACGACGGTACCACAACAAATCACAAGGTGGGGATCTGCCGGCTGTGCACGACAAGGTTTGTGAATCCACACCTGAAAGCCATTTAACTGGGGGTCATCTTTAAACCAGTTCAGAAACATCAACATCCTCTCAAGTATTCACAGCAACTACTTATACCTCGTGATAACACCGTGATTTTGTCTGACAGCAATTTCTAACCTTACCCTGACAGAACCTCTTTATAAACAACCTTGTACCTTTTAATAACCTTCTGAACATCCTTCCCAGTGTGTCAACACACATAAAAACCAGTGACAACAACTACACAACCAGACTGGAGCACACTGCTCAATCGATAGCCTATCACTTCATTAGGCGTGCTGGAACAACACCACAGAGATCACGTGCAATTGCAAATTGCAAATTGCACGTGAGCCTTATCTGGGACACTTAAATAAGGAGTTTGCTGTCACGGTGGAGCTGCTGGAGCCCATGGGCATCTCTCCTTGGGGTCTCCACCAGCTTCCGCACAGACACCAGCATTCCAGCACCACTTCACCAAAACACTTTTCAGTCTTCACCTCCAAGCACCAACTATTTTCCAACACTACTATTTAGCTCTGTACCCACTGGAGTCTGGCAGCGTGTTGAGGCAGAGAGGAGGTTATTTTTTTAATCGCTGATTTACACTTTGCATTGCAGCCAGGACAAGCAGCTGCTGATCTCTGCAGGCAAAGCAAGCATCTAGCCGTTCCCTAAATACCACTTCCATGGTCTACAATGCTTTGATTTCTTTCCACACCCAGAAGAGTTTGCGTGCTTTTGGAAAAGCCTAGTATGAAGGCTCCGACTGATGAGCTTTCACCTCAGAGGGAGGACCTTCTGTGGTTGAACACCCAAGTCGGTAGAAGCCAAGGGTCTAGCAGTCCCTAAATGGCAGGTTTAGGCTGGGCCAAAATT